GCTGGGACGATCTCGGACGATCTCGGCTCTCCTCGGGCCACCTCGGCTCCTCGCATGCCCCTCTCGTGCCATCTCGGACAATCTCGGACAATCTCGTCCCCTCTCCTGGCAGGTGGCCGAGCTGGCGGCGTCGTGGCAGCCGGCCCTAGACGCTGAAACAGTATTCATCACTGTACTCCACTGCAGTCCACTCCACTGCACTGTCTTCCTCTCCGTTGTCAGTACGCTGGAACAGGTATTCGTCACTGTTACTCCACTGCACTGCTGCTCCGCTGTCTTCCTCTCCGCTGTCTCCACGCGGTGCTTTAGAGTGCGCTGCACGACACCGTCCTCCCGCCCTGAGGTTGGTGCATTCATCACTCTCGTATTCCGCTGTGCTCCGCGCTGTAGTCACTGGACTCCTCTCCGTTGTCTGAGTGCGCTGCACGACACCGTCCTCCCGCCCTGAGGTTGGTGCATTCCTCCCTCTCGTATTCCGCTGTGCTCCGCGCTGTTCTCACTGGACTCCTCTCCGTTGTCTGAGTGCGCTGCACGACACCGTCCTCCCGCCCTGAGGTTGGTGCATTCCTCACTCTCGTATTCCGCTGTGCTCCGCGCTGCAGTCACTGGACTCCTCTCCGTTGTCTGAGTGCGCTGCACGACACCGTCCTCCCGCCCTGAGGTTGGTGCATTCATCACTCGCGTATTCCGCTGTGCTCCGCGCTGCAGTCACTGGACTCCTCTCCGTTGTCTGAGTGCGCTGCACGACACCGTAGGCAGCCGGCGCTACCATTACTTAATGAATGCCGGGAGAGTGGAGAGCTAGCGGAGTGGTAATTGTTAGGCAGCCGGTGCTACCATTGCTTAATGAATGCCGGGAGAATGGAGAGCTAGCGGAGTGGTAATTGTTAGGCAGCCGACGCTCGCATGGCGCACCGCGACGCTGCTACCCTCTCCGTCCGGGCTCGCCGCTGCCGAGATCTACCGAGATCCGATCTCGGCTCATCTCGGCTCATCTCGCCGCGATCTCGCGGTGTTAGGCTGTTTCTTGCGGGGGGCGAGGGGGCGGAGCCGACCGCCGTGGCGGAGGCAGCGAGATTGTGCCGAGATTGTGCCGAGATTGTGCCGAGATGAGCGCCTGAGAGTGTACCGCGAGATGCTGAGAGATTTGGAGGGCGGTGTTGAGATCGCGCGAGGTCACCCGAGCTCACCCGAGACCTCCCGAGATTGCGCGAGATTGCGCGAGATTGCGCCAGGATAATTGCGTGAGATGACTCGAGATTGCGCGAGATGACTCGAGATGGCGCGAGGTCACGCGAGATTGCGCGAGATTGCGCGAGATTGCCGCAGGCGGTCAACCTCCGTCTCGTCGAGAGGCTGGCGACGCAAGACGCAGCCGCAGCGACCGCAGCCACCGCCGCCGCCACCGCCGCCAGCAACGGCGGCGGAGGTGCCGCCGCCGCCGCCAGCGCCGCCGCCGCCGCCACTCCAAACGGCGCCGATGCCAACAGAAGACGCCAACGCCCTTAGCGCTGCCCGCAACCGCCCCCCCCCCCC